GCACTATAAGGACTAAAGAGCCGCAGGTTGCCGACCCCTGGACTAGACATACAGCTGTACCTAACAAAGTGGCTGGTGAGTGTATTGTACCTTCAGCTTTTGGCTGTGACACTAACATTACAATTCTTTCATGGATAAATAAATATTTACAGACTACACTAGACTACATTTACTGACCTAACTGCTGACACTGGCAGTTTACTGTACAGAGTAGTTTGATTAAAAAAAACAAAACAAAAAAAACAGACTTCCTTCAAGGTGCTTTATATTGCCTGATAAAGATTCTACAATGTTAAAGGTGACATCAATGATTTTTTAAATGTTGAAACAATGAGAAATTTTCCTAAACCAAGTAGAAATACAGTTTCTAGGTATCTGCCTTTATTGAGGTGCTGGCTACACTGTGCAGACAGCTTTGTCAGTGAGTAAACATTAGAACAACAACTAAATTCATCTCCATGCTGCCCTAAAGGCTAAAATAATCATTTGTTACTGTGTGGGCATCAAAATTGTTCTATTAGCCGTCCTGTCTACAAGACTCTCCTCAGCACTGTGTTACGTGTTAAAATGACCAACCCTAACCATGGGACAGCTGTGATGTGGAGGACAGAGTTAGTCACCTTCATGGCATTAAGCAGCTCAGGATCCTTCAGGAGTTCACCTAGACCAGCCATGCCGGGACCAGCTCCGGCTCCACCTGGGAATCCGCCTGGGAATCCACCCGGACCTACCAAGCAATGATTACACTTATACTTGCACTAATGTGTCTAATAAATGGATGCATAACAGAACCCTGACATGAACACGCAGCTTCACACATTGTTCTGACCCTGGACGTTGCAGACACGGGATGATCAATAAAACAATCAGTGTTTACAGGAGTATAAATTATGGGACTCCATCATCATCATCAAGGCGTCCGGCAGTAAAATGAGTTGCTTTTGCTCTCCTACCTGGGAAGAATCCTCCTCCAGCCTGTCGTGCTTCCTCTTCCTGTTGCAAAACAATGAATGAGACATTCATCAGTGTCATACAGTTTTTGGATTTTTCCCACTCCTGAAAAATCTGTGGAATTCCTCCCGGCAACTCACCCTCTGAGCCCGTGCGTGCTCCTCTCTGGCTTTCTTTATCCGGTCTTGCTTCTCTTTGATCTCCTTCTCTTCTCTCTTGCGCTCATATTTGCGTCTGTGCTCTATGATTTTGTTGGCCTGAAAATTACAAAGAGTTCATCTGCATTAAGATCATGTAAACAGATCAGGACTTTGCTGTTTAACTGCAACCTTCTACATATTGAACTACCTGCATTACTGTTCCCACCACAAAATGAAACTGTGGCAAAGCGTTTTTTTAATCTTTCTCTTCACGTCACTGTTACCTTTGGCTGGACCTCCTTCAGCATTGCACTGGCATCCTCATCATAGTCCAGTTTACAGGCTGTGGCCAGGTCCCTGGCTGCCTCCTCCCAGTGTCCCAGCAGCCTGCAGCAGGACAAACATCAATTTACTGACAATATTTGGTTTCTAGCTTTGAGGCTCCAGTTTGGATTCATGAGACAGACACCCTCTGAAATATCCTTTAGTTAAGAAGCCACTACTGGGCAACATTACATTTTCTCTGCTTTCATTTGTCGTCATCTCCCTATGCACTCCTTTTTTTCTTTTCCTTCACCCCCAACAAGTTTTTTTTAAATAAATAAAACCGAACTGAACTAATTGAATACAGTGAAGCAGAGCTGACAGATCTGCTTAACATCACCTCCCTTAATCTGACTCACTGAAGTGTTTTTGTCTGTTGTTGGTGCTATTTGGAGCATTTTTAAGGCCCCATTCACACAGGCCAAGAGGGAAAAATGCACATTCCTCCATCTGTTTGGTGATTGGTGGTTGCTGAGGGCTGCTGGCTGTTGCTAGGTGAAAGAGGGTGTTGTACCAAAAAACCTTGTCACATGTAGTTTGCATGGAAGACATCAACTTGTCTGCAAACTTCAAAATTTTACTCTCCAACTGGTTGTGAAAGCTGAAAAAGTGTGACATGAACCAGAAATGGAGAATATTGGCCTTCAAAATAAAAGCATGTCTTATCACTGCAAACATCATGACCAGTCTCGAAGCACGGAGACTAAAAATGGAAAATGCGTACACATTTAGACTATGATATCTAGTATATATATGTCCCAGGACTAAAGTAAAGGGCTTGGGTAGTTTATTCATTTTAAAGAGAAATGTTAATCAAACCCCATCAGATGATTAAATATTACCAAGCCCATTTAGGGGAGTAATTCAGGCCTGAATGATGCTTTTGTGGAAG